AATTGAAAAAAATCCTTGCCGTTTTATGCCACTGTTCATTATTAGGCGAAACTTTACCTCTTATCGTAGACATTTATAAGCACATGCACAAATTAAAGCAACAGGGTAGCACATATTGTCTCAACTACCTCCTTTAAGCGAGTACTTTTATAATTGCAGATGACATCCTAAGTTGCATTATTTTTTAGGCAGACTTCTTGTTTATGCACTGATTTGATTTGCATTTTTTTCAGATTGTTGACTGTTTCATGGAGCTGAATCTCGTGCAGCAGTGTACATCATTTCTATTGGATGCATTGAAAAACGACAGACCAGAAGACGGTCCTCTTCAAACTCGCCTGCTGGAAATGAATCTGCTTTCTGCTCCTCAGGTACTTTTCTTATACACAGATTTACTGAAGCTGTTGGATGAGTCGTGCATATCTTGCAGGTGGCTGACGCGATTCTCGGCAATAACATGTTCCACCATTACGATAGGGCCCACGTCGCTCAGCTATGTGAAAACGCTGGTTTGCTGCAACGCGCTTTGGAACACTATACGGATTTGTACGATATCAAACGAGCTGTCGTTCACACGCACCTTCTGAAGCCGGACGTAAGATTCTGGCTGCAGCTGTTTGTATTTTGTTGTTTGAAACCTGATTTTTCATGTAGTGGTTGGTCAATTACTTCGGATCGCTGAGCGTCGAAGATTCTCTCGAATGTCTGAAGGCCATGCTGCAGGCAAACATACGCCAGAACTTGCAAGTGGTGGTGCAAATTTCGACGAAATATCATGAGCAGCTGACGACGCAGGCGCTTATTGATCTTTTCGAATCGTTCAAGTCCTTCGAAGGCCTGTTTTACTTTCTCGGTTCTATAGTAAACTTCAGCCAAGATCCAGAAGTTCATTTTAAATATATTCAGGTAAGAATGAGCTCGCCTTATTAAGAAACAACATTGTAAATTACGGCAGAAATAGCATTTTAAAATATATGTCATATCGCAGCCTGATGTGATTGTAAAGGAGTTGGATAATCAGAGACAAATCGAAGCTTATATTAGGAATGTATATAAACAGCGATAGTAACTGCCCTAAGCCAATATGTACCAGCTCGCTGCGCATGTCTGCTGCTGTGAATGTCACATCCCTCGACAGTTTGAAGATTCTTCGCTGTTTGAAAGTGACAACGTCCCACTTCCGAGGCAGAGAATTTTATTCAGGAGTAGAGTTCCACAATTCAGGGTGTTTCTGCAACGCTGATTTATCTTTTGATTAGCACTGGTCTCGATTTGTCAGGCGCCAGTCCGCATGCACCACTCACTAAAAAATATGTCCATTCAGTATATGAAATGATATGAAGTGGTATCTTCGCAGGTGACATGCTCACATTTTTTTGTCGAGGCCGACCCATTCGTTTCGCCTCCCACTTGTTTTTCTGCAAGACATCCCGCGTGATGTGTATAAGTAGCTTTATGCCCCATTATGATTGCCAACGCCTTCCTATTGCTTTTTCTCTATTCCTTCTCAGGAATCAATCCGCTTTGATTAAACTGTTGTATAGCATTTTCGTCTCTAGGTCTGCTGATAGACACATCCTGTCATTTAGAAAGTAGCTCTTATGTGCGATCTTTTGCTTGGTGATATGCGCTTCCGGTTGTTTCTGTTGGCCCATCTGTCCTGAAGTACAAGTAGCCTGTCAGTGCAGTCATTAGTCATATTGCTACTTTGAATCAGGATCAGGTCATTTACTTTTATATTTCTGAGATAGATTGACTGCTAGTTAATGAAAGGAATCAAGAAACAAGAGACTATAAAATAAAATGACTCACTACCCGTAAATAATGTCTTCGTACAGTTTGAAGCATTTTTAGCTGATTGCATAGAAGCGGTGATTAGCATCAGGCCATCAAGCTCGTTAGCAGTGCAGTCTGAAACGTTGTATGCCCTTATCTGCGCCGAGGGGAACGTGGGTAAATCTTTGCCGCTGATATTCTCTGAACCTTCAAGCAGTATAAGTGGCAGTAGTCTGTCTTTTTGTAGGGACATAGGTTTAAACCCATCATCTCTTCTATTCGAAGTACAAGGCTGTGCAGAGACTAAAAACACGTGCTATAGATAAAGCAGAGTTCATGTTTTTTGTTCTCGCTGATCGTTCAACTTCACGTTGTCTTCATGGGCGTCACCGTTTATGCATTTTTGACAGGCCACTGACGGATGATCATCGGATAGCATGACTAATATTAAAGAAATTGGCATCGTTCAGTTGCTTATGCATAGCGAGTTTGCAATCTGTTTGACTGTTTAACAACCTTAAATGAAATCTCTAGCTATTCTCATGGATTGAAAGTTCTTTGCTCAACGTCGAATAAATGCTTTCTTTCCTATGTGATGGTTTTTTTTT